CAATTACAATATTATTGGTGCCGGCGGGGATCGAACCCGGTTTGCTCGCACACTGTGAAAATTTTAGCAAGCGCTAACCATCTGAGCTACCACGGCTCCTCTCCTCTCGAGCTAGAGACTTTATTTTATTTATCGTCAGGCCTGTTGGTCTAGTGGTTAGTGACCCTGACTGCTATGCCGTAGGTCGTGGGTTCGATTCCCACCCAGGACAAATGTTTGTGTGATGATTTATCTATAATATTTATGTATTTAGAAATATATAAGTATGTTTATCAGTTGTCTATATACATAAATACAAAAATAAAATAAATACAAAAAATATACAAATAAATAAAGATCCAACCATATTAAATAAAAAATAGTCTCCTATCTTTCTCTCTATGTTTTGATCTCCTAAAACGAGTTTGAGTTGGTAAAATCAAGGCAAACTTAGGGTAAGGTTTGGAAATTCCGCGGTTTTATATGCGCAAGCGTGAACGTAGTTAGAACATAATATAACCTTTATATTTTACATAAATATCCTAAAAAACTTATTATTTTAATATTTTACTAAGTACCTATAAAATTAACAAGTTTATTGCATTTTTATTTGAGTAATTTTTTATGCAATTTCTTTATCTACGTCTATTTTTAGGAACCTTTATTTAGTCTGAATCATACATAACACTATATTACTGATTTACTTACTTATACGTAGTTTTTTTTTGCAGTTACAAATATCTTGTGAGGTTGAAAAAGGTAGTAATGAAAAAATAATAAGAATAATAATAATTGACGTCAACAACCACTTTTCATATCATGGTCCATTAGGTTGCAGCTTCACCGAACCACAACTTATAATAATAATAATAACAATAATAATATAATATTATTTTGTATTTATTTTATTTTATTGATATTAATGTATATTTATCTTTTCATTTTAATTTATAATTTTTATATATTTAAATATTTATATAACCGAACCAGATGAGAAAATTATACGGCTCCAACGATTTTAGCGACGAACGCTTGGATTTATTTTTAGAAAATGTCCTTTTGTCTATGTTTTCAGGCAATAAAAAAACTGCTACAATATAAGAAGGTAAATTTCGACTAATCGTTAACGGTCGTTATAGCTCAGGTGGTATGTCGGTCGGGCGTGATATCGGAGTTCCGTGGTTCGCGTCTTGGCTTTGGTCCCGCTTTTTTTTTCCTTTTTTTCAAGTTCCCTTCTTTTGTGAGAAAATTTATTATTTCAAACCCTTTTTTTTAGTAATTTTTTAAAATACGAAAATTTTAATTTTAAAAATTAAAAAAAAATATCTATTTAGTTACTAATGCTATATTTATTATTTTAATAATCACCTACCCAGTAGGTAAATATTAAAATAATAAATGTAGCATTATAAACAGTAAATCTCCCTCAAACTCAATTTACTAATATTGCTCCTAAATAAGGAATAGCAAATAAAAGATTAGTAGGTAATAACTATTGCTCCTCAAAATTATATTTGACCTCAAGGTAAAACATATCCTAAAATTCAGTAGCTAAATAAAATAATAATAACTACTATTCAAGTATATTTTCAATATGTAAGTAAATGAAAATAACAAAAATGAAGCACCATTAGCATGTAAAGTTCGAATCCATAATTAATATTTCGACAAATATTATAATTTACACTATAAAAAGCTAATTCAATATTAGCAGTATAGTATATAGTTAAAAATAATCAAAATAGTCATTTTTATTAATTAGATAATATATTAGAATACATAATTCTAATATAATGCAACTAATATACCGAATAAAGAAAATTAAAATACATTTATCATTGTACGCCATGTCTATTTCCATAGAAGAGTTCATTGACATTGAAAAAATAATACTACGTTCGTAGCAGTAGGTGGCGTCTTTTGGCCATTTCTTACGCGATATATTGTAGCGAGCGTCGACAGACCAAATGCTCAAGGTCGTTCGCTGGAGGTAGCGCCTTAACAACATAAAATCGCGTGCGTATCACGGATTGACTTAATAATATAATTATGTATAACTATGGTATAATCTGATCATGGTCATGAGATTATAATTTTTTTTAAATGAAGTTAGTTTTATATTTTGTTTAACTACTTTATTTTATTCCAATTAGAAAGTATATACATTTAAAGCCTATGTAACATTGTATTTTATTTTAATCTTCAATATTAACAGATTAAAAATAAATATTAAAAAATATTCAATATTAAATTTATTATTATGTTATAAGATTAAAGATAACTAAAATGTAAAAAAAAAGTAAATAGAGAACTTTCCTTTTTTTTAAGTATCGGGGGAGGTGTAGTGTATGTGCCTCCACCCTACTAATGTACTTACTCTTAGGTTTAAAGAGAGCAGTCTAATCAAAGATTTAGTACCAACCACACGTCTCCTTCATTTGACATCATTCCTATATTACATGTGTGTCTGTCTGAAACTGTTTGCAGAATGCGTAAAGGGTGTTTAATGTAACCCGGCAAAACCATATTTAGCAAATGTTTGCAAGTTTAATTTTGTGACTACTTTGGTAGTTTACCGATTTATAATAATTGTATTTATTGTTGACCAAAAACATATTCAAACACATTCATATATGAAACACTGACACGTATGACGTAGGTAATCAGTATTGTGACGATATTTCAGAAAAATCACGGACCAACCTGCTGTTAATAATACTACCGAAAACATAATTGCGTTTTTTAGAATAATTAATTACTATACCTACGACAAATTACAATATAGTCTCAAATATATACTAGAGAAATATTGCAATTCGAATCAATGAAAACATTCTTACAAAATATGAATAATACACAAGAAATTCCGCGCGCAAATCATAGCGCGTGACAACCGAAATCAGAATATTATATTTTATCAAACAAGTGAACGTAAGTTTGGCAACGCTTTTGTTTCGTCAATTCAAGGTCAGGAATACGTTAGTACCGTAGACTTCTCTGTCTACGGTTAGTACTCTTATCAGTTTGTTGTCAGGAAGGACGGCAACGTCGCTTTACCTATGACTTTTGGTATTTATGTTGCCACACAACGATAATAAGTAATAAAATTGTTTACAAAAAAAACATAGGTGTCTAAGGTCATTAGTTTTATGTTATTTTATACTGTTTTTTTAACGGTTGGAAAGGAAATTAACCAATTATTGAACTTAAGATATTGATTTATCAGAATTATTTAAGATCACTTGGATGCCATCTAGCGTGCCAATGTTTAAACGTCGCCTTTCGTTCGCTTGTCAAAAGTCACACACACTACTAAAGAAGTGTCAAATTTTTCCGGGATTTCACTATTGTTTTTCTCAGTATATAATGTAAGTAATAATAATAATAATAAACTTTATTTGACATAAAATATTACAATAAATATTTCAGTGAATCCATAGGCTCCTAAACTAGTGTAAAACTGTGTTTCAGGAGCCAGTGGCTTCTCCCATAACATTGCATTATTAATTTATGCCATAAGATAAGGTACATTATAAGTTATTCAGCAGAACTACTTAAATCAAGAAAACAAAAATTAGTAAAGAACGGGCTACTCACTAGCGCATATCTGTTATGTATGTAGTTGTATTAATGTGTGCGTGCGTGTGTGTTTGTGTGTTTGTGTGTGTGTGTGTGTGTGTGTGTGTGTGTGTGTGTGTGTGTGTTTGTGGGTGTGTGTGTGTGGTTCTTTGTGTGTGTGTGTGTGTGTGTGTGTGTGTGTGTGTGTGTGTGTGTGTGTGTTTGTGTCAGTAATAAAAACCAGTTAACATGTTTTCTACATCGTCATAATCAAGGTTTTTAAGCCATAAAAAATATACTTCTTAATAACATTATTATTGCACTTTTTTACATTATACTCCTTATTCAGTCTGTTATATAGGTGTGGAATAATAAAATCAAACTGCTTCTGGGCGAATCTTGTTTTTACTTTGGGAACGGTCAAGCCTCGGAGATGATTACTACGATAGGCAAGTAAGGAACATTTTTTTTGTGATAATGGCGTAGACTTTCGTAAATAAATAATTTTCTAATACTAAGAACATTGGCTTTGTCATTGTTATTGCCTATAAAGGTCAGACGCGTACACATTTCATTGTAGAGTGATAAAATGATTAGTTTTAAAGAAAGAGTGTCTGTGTTTAGTGTATATTTTGGATAAAAAATGTATCGGCGGACGGTCGACGCATCCACCTTAATATACTTTAGTGTTAAGGTAGAATAATGAGGCAGTGTAATTAAAGTTTTAGTACCAACCACACGTCTCCTTCATTGACACCTTTCCTATATTACGTGGCCCCAAAGATGACATATACAGCTGTCCATAGAACCTCTCAATCTCACTCAAAATCTCAGGTGTTCCAAAAACGATGCTGCCACACTCAGCTTCGACAGTAGGCTCTTTCTGGCAGAATGATCTCTGGCAAAGCCTTTGGAACCCTGGTTCCGCTCGATCGCTTCTTAAATACGATCTGTATTAAAAAGTTGCGTAAGTCCCGTCGCATGCATTTGGAGATCGGTCTGTTCAGTAGCCTGTACGCTAAAAATCTGCTGAAGACCGCAGCTTCATCTCCCGTCTGACAGCCACGAGATTGAGAGTGTGATCGGAGAGTTTTATAATATTTCTTTTAATAAAGTTTTTGAACTTTTAAGAGGTCAAATTTTGTATATTTTCTAGGATTTTGTTGTAAAAGAGTATACATCAGCCTTAAAATGAATTACTGATTTGGTAGAGTCGAGTAACTGGTACTACGAGCTTGTGTCTTTTCCTAGTATTTACAGAACGGGTAGGAATTATGTTTATTTTACAACTACTTTCATTTGTATACATAAACTACATTTTCGTTCATGTATTGAGAAGCCAAAGTTAATATATGAATTTCTTATGAGCCAGAGGTGTTTGATGTCTTAATTCATAGTTAACAAAGACTACCTTCTTTTAAATATGAAGTTTTATTATACATTCGATATGAAATATAATTTACCTGTAATAGCGTAGTCTATAGCAGCGTTTTCTCCGATGTCTTCGTCTACGGCTTCAAGTTTTCCGATGACTGTGCCAATGGGCACTTCCTCCTTCGTTGTCATTAGGATTGGGGGATCATCCTTTAAAACAATTTATATTTATGTTATTTAAACATAACGTTGAAGTAAGCGTTAGATACAAAGAAGAATAAATTAAATTATTGAAAATTAGTCACATTTAAAATATGATCAAAGAATAAAATAAGCAATTTGGCGTATCTATGAGAGGCCTATGTCTAGACATAGTCAGTGGACTGCCGTAGGTTTATAATGATGATGATGATGATAAGTAATTTTGCATAATGATAAAGATCATTTTCAGTTCACGACTACTACTTATTTTGTGTGTTTGATGTAATAGATCATTCAATATCTTCAATATTGTAGACCTTCAAACCGGTATAATCACAACACAACAAGGCATGGACCGTGAACGCAGTGAACGTAAGGGCGCGTACACACTGGTGGTGTGCGCGGCTAAAATAAACTTCTTTTTTGTAATCGAAAGAATGTTTTACTGAGTTGTTCGTACACAAAAGTTACATTTAATAAACTGTTCCGGTGTTGGTTCTGTGGCGTAGTGGCTTAGCATTGAGAAGCAATGTTGAGGGGTGCGGATTCGAATACTTCACGGGACAAGTATTCGTATGGCCATGATTGCTTCGGGTCTGGATGTTCATCCTTGTGCAATTTATGTATGAAAACTACCTCCACAATACAGAAAAAATCCTAGTGTGGGCGCGACTTTGAAAAAAAAGTGATGCCTTTTCTGCATTCTATTTTTTGTACCAGTTACATAACCATTGCATAAACAGGTAACTTTTGTAAACAACATAAATGTTTAGGGTGATTTATTTTAACAATAACAGTAACGGTAAAAGTGTTGTGTTCTCACCAAGGTCCTGGCGAAGTGTGGCTTGTGGTCGTCGACGTCGTCCACGGAGACGGTGACGATGCGCGTGGCCTGCTGCGATGGCGAACCGCGGTCCGTCGCGCACACCACCAGTGTGTACGCGCCCTTACGTTCACGGTCCAGACTTTGTCGCGTTGTGATTATACCGGTTTGAGGGTCTGCAAAATTGAAGATATACAGTTTAGTGTACAAGAGTAATGATGTTCTACGGTTATTTTAATTTAATTAAAGTCAAGATTCACTAGAAATTGATTTATTTTTCCTTTGTTTTCTAATTTGCCCTATATTATAAATAACAACTCGTTTAAACTCTCCAGAAAACATATTTTTTTTATACAACATCCTGCATATCAAATTTCGGCAATGGTAGCCAGCCTCCAAGGAGACTAAGCCATCAGCGCAGGACAGGATTATAATGTATGATTGTGTGCACAAACACAGGTGCACTCTCTATTCCCTTACTCTTATAGTCCGATGAGATGGAATTCCGGCACGTCCGGAGAGATATCAGGTGCAGGACCAACGGGTTGACGTGTTTTTGAGGCACGGGGGTAGAAAAAACCTCCTGAATCCATGTTGCTGTTAAGAATTTCTGGAGCTACAACCATAATATAGCTTCAGCGAGGCTCTACCACGTAAAACATAATATAGTAATATATGTCAGCTTAAAGAAGTTATGTCAGCTTAGGCCTAGGCCTGAACGTAGGTGAATTCCTAAGTGGTTTTAATACATTATTCTTTTGCTTTTTCTCTCTTTATTTATTTAGGGATTTTCGTTTGTAGACATGTCAATCTCATTATAACAAATTTTTAGTTGTAATATGCGATGTGGGCTTATGTTGAATAGCTCGTGCAATAATACCCGTGTTGTATAAGTTTATCTTATTATATGTCCTCACAAATAATTCCCTTGCTCCTCGGTTTTGCTCACATTTCATTAAAAAATGATATTGACCCACGATTAGTCCACAAGTTTCACAACTAGGTTTTTTTTGGATAGATTGTGACCTGATCTTATTCTAAATTTTAACTAATAATATTTTTAGTTAATATTGTGTAGATAGATTAGGGTAATTGACAAGATTTACTATGTATGGTTTTGTACCTAATACCTTAATGCTTTTTGTTTTAGAGCGTTTATTAAAACATTTTTTAAACAATAAGAGTCAATATTATCTCCTCCACTATTAATACAAGCAAGAATTTACTAATATACCTGACTCCTCGTTACCTAGAATACTTTTGCTGTCTATAGTAATTCAACTGGCATTAAAGTTAACGTATTTAAGTGGTGGTGTAAGAATATCCGGTGCCCCATATCATCCCGCGGGTGTCGCAGGAGGCGACGCAGGGAAACAAATCAGAAGATGGGTAGCAGCGTCTTCCTAATAAAGACTAAATATAAAGCTGCGGTTGGCAACTCTCCTACAAGCTCGGCAATTATGGCAAAAATCCCTCCTATGAGGCAATCTATAAGAGATTCCATTGTTTTGACTTCAATAGGCTATAACGGTAACGGTAAAAGCTGGGAAGATACGTAGATAAGATACTTAGGGACCTTCAAGAAAAGAGCCTATACCTTTTTAAAAGGCCGGCAACGCATATGCAATACCCCGGGTGTTGCAGCTGTTCATTGCGGCGGTAGTCACTTACCATCAGGTGAGCCGTATGCTAGTTTGCCCCCTGTCTTAAAAATAAAAAATACGTACCAATAGCAAACGCCTTTGCGTCGGCGTTGGTCTCCTGTATGGAGTAGAGCAGCTGGCCGGACGGCTGCGTTGGGTCGTCGGGGTCGCTCGCCACCACTTGGAACACCACTGTACCGATCGTCGCGTTCTGTTCAGTGCACACAGATAAAATGTACGCATATAGTCAAGTATTTGCTTATACTGCATTATTATGTACCAGCTTACTAGCTGATACACAATGCGTTGCTGCCGCAGAAGAAATAATTGTGAAAATATCGTTTTAAATTTGGAAGAGTTATTATTAAGATTTATAGTATTAACATACACAATATACTGGGCGACTATTTTTACTGTCGGAAAAATAATATGGTGTTTTGTGTAAGTGGAATAGAAGCTATCCTCGAAAGTATTTGTATAATATAACAAAATATAACTAGATAGGTAAAGTTTCAGAATATTTTAAAGAATACATAAAAACAACTCATCCTACGGCGTTCGCGTAAAACTTTTTAGACTATGATCGCTAGTGAATGAAAATTGTAAGAACGAGCGAGACGCATGCACATCTTTCGTTATGTAGGCGCCCGAGTAGGCGAGGAGCGGCGGACACATCATTGCTGCTAACACTTTTAGGCCTCTGCCTCGAATCTTGCGGGCAGCGGAGCGACGGCGACGGCGGCCCGGGAGCGGGGCGGGCAACGCAGACCCGTTCACGAAACTAGCGGGTGGATCGCGCGACAGCCCTATAGCGGCGTAGTGATGTGTTCATGGTTGTGTTGTCGAGATGTTTGTTTTTATTTGCGAACGAAATGTCTGAACAACGGCGACAACATCTTTTTGATTCAAATTTACTTCTAACGCTCGATTTACAGTGGGCAAAAGAAGAAGTGAATCCCTACTACTTATAGGGCAAGGAAAAGAAAAGCCGAGTTTTATCGAAATTACGAAGAACAGAGACAATGTCCTGACAAATTCTACGACTACACCAGAATGAACGTAGAAACTTTTGACTATATTCTTGAAGCTATCAAGGGCGATTTAGAGTCTGTATTCAGTTCGTTTTTAATTTCTTCCCATAACTGGTTAACTACTTTTCTATTTTTATGGTTCACATCTTTGCTGTTCCATATCGGTGTTCTCTCAAAAATTGCTTGCACGCCCGAGGACATTTCGAAACATCACAAAAATTAATTGCACAGCACTGCAATGCAGACGTGCGGGCCGTCACCGCTTGACTGGAGTAAACCGCTCGTTGCCCGCCCCCCGCGCCGCTGCCAAACCGCTGTTTTCGAGAGTCGGTCCATTTGATTTTACGCATAAGATCCTACCGCTCCCGCGCCGCCGCCGCTGCCGTCCCGCTGCCCGCAAGATTCGAGGCAGAGGCCTTATGCGCGCCTTACGTTACCAATTTTTTTTCTCTTACGAGTGTTTATGCACTTGATATTTGTTTTTGATTTAAACTGCCTTGTTGGTCTAGTGGTTACAGTAGTGTGACAGCTGACCATTTTTTCCGTCAAGAAATTCTCAGTAGGTGCCCGGAGTCAGGAAATTGGCTGTGTCTCACCGCCGAGCCTCGGAAAGTACGTAAAGCCGTTGGTTGGTGGTGGTTTTTCCTCGTATAATGTCAATGAACTTAACAAGTTCAGTGTAAGTACCAGTACTAGTTGCTGCCCACTAATGCACGATCAGTATATACTGGTAATTATTGTAAAATACTTGGTCGACAAAAGAAAAAGATTTAAAATAACGGCACTTCTCATTGCTAATCTTTCATTAATAACCACTCAAACGTCCGGGCGACACTAAGTTGACTAATATTTTTTAACTCTCTCACTCGCTGACTTATACATTTTGAACGACTTTTTATCCATGGAAAGTTACAAAAAGCTTAATAAACGTTGCACCAGATGGATTTATATTAAAAATGAGTCTATAGGTTACTAAAAGGTCTATTCCGGGTAATAAATACCATTGAAAACAAAAAAAAAACGAGCGTTGTGTCAAGTTTTGTGTAGTGGTACTCCTGTACTGTGAATTCTACATTTAAAATGTAAATTATAATGTATTTATTATACTTTTATACTAGTATTATATATAAAAATAATCCTCAAAATGCTTTCTTTTCGTATTTAGATCTACAAGTTTTATGAATCCAAAGCTTCCAAAATCCAAAAACTTCGCCTTTGTGTGTCGGTTTTTCGTTAAGTTTTTGTATTATATATAAAATATTTGTTATAAATATAAAAATAATAAATACAAATTTACAATAAATTGTTATAAATATAAACTTAAAAATAATAATAGTTTGCCACATTTGATAGCTGCCCGGGAACATAAACAATACGACGGCGACTGACGTCACACCACAGCTAATCATAAGTAAGGACAGTTGAGAGCGCGGGCGGCTTTGGTTTTGGTTTTGAGCCTGTGACTCTGCCAAGTAACAAGCTCAAAGATGCTTGCTAAATTTATTGTTTTATTGCAGTTCATAAAGTAGGGTATATGATTTGAATTTTGATAGATTTTAATTGATTTATACATTTAATTCAAAACTTGTTTTTATTTTTTGTAAAATATCTGTGCCATACGTTTTTACTTTGCTGTTACGCCCTATTTTTTTTAACGGTAAAAAATAGTTAGTCAGTCATTACAGAGCCGTGATAGCTCGAGGGCTTAGGCGGCTTTGGGCTTGCTGTGAATTTCACAGTACGCGTGCAACCCAGTTTCGATACCACCGCTACAAATGAAATTGTTAATTGCAATGTTAAGTGCTGATTTACCACGTGTTCGGGGGCGAAGAAAACCATAGTGAGGAAATTTGCATGTTTGAGAAATAAGAAAAAAAAATTTCGAAAACATGTGAAGTTCGCCATTGCGACAACGCGGCGGACATTTCCTTGCTCTAAAATCCTTTCATTGATGAGAGGAGGCCTGTTTCCAGCAGTAGGATGTATATAAGCTGTAACATACGTATTAATTATGTATTATAAATTTATAATTTATATTAGCATTTTATCAATGGGTTGCAGTGCTAAAGGCCGGATGTTCCGGGTCTGTATATTTGTAAAAGGCTTCTGAATGTTTGTAAAGGTTTCAACCCTTGTAACATTTATGAATGTAAATTGGCTTCACGATACAGGAGAAAATTCTAGTGTGGAGATAACGTTTTCATAAGGAGTTAAGCCCGGTTTACACTTTGAGAAGTGACAAGTGACAAATCATAAGTGCTTAGTGCGTTTGAACAGGCAGTGATAAGTGCGAGTTACAAGTGCTAAGTGTGAAATGAAAAGTAACAAGTGAATAGCGGCCTGCTCTATTCTCTGACAAGTATCTCTGCCCCGCGCTAACCTTGCTTTCCCCTCAGTCGCCCACCGCGGCCCCCGCTCTAGTTGCGATGTCAGAACATACACGTGTTGGTGATAATAGTTATTACATAAAATATTTTATATATATTATTAATAATTTTGGTTTATTACGCTATTGTTTTACATATCTAAGCCCACTTATATCCGAGAGCAGTTTTGGGAGATGGTAAGGATGGTGTTAATGAAATGTAGGGAAAATGAAAATATTGTTATGTTAGATTTTAATGGAAGGGTTGGGGTGAGGAGGCTTGGCTATGAAAGGATACTGGGAACGTTTGGTGATGAAAGTATTAATGAGAATGGTGAAAGCCTCCTCACCGTATGTGTGGAAAGGAATCTTTTTGTGACGAACACTTTCTTTCGTCATAAGAAGATTCACATGTATACTTGGGAAAGAGGTCATGATAGAAGCACGATAGATTTCATAACTGTGGATGAAAGAATGAGGACCGCAGTGGTGGATACAAGGGTTTACCGGGGGTCCAACGTAGGGACGGACCACTACCTGGTCTTATGCCGAATTAGGGGTTTATTCAGACGTTGGCGGCGTCGGACGTCTGTGTCTACCACTGCGTTACAGCGTATAAGAATTGAGAGGTTACAAGATGAAGATGTGAAAGACAAGTACAAATGTAGACTAAGAGAAAATATAAGTGATTTGGAGGAGTTGTGTGTGAATGAGCTGGACTTGGAGAATGTGTGGCATAATGTTAAGAAAGGTTGTTCAGAAGTATGTGGTGTTAGTAAGAGAACGAATGAAAGGAAAGACAATACGTTATGGTGGGATGATGAGGTACGTATGGAAGTTGAAGCAAAGAAGAGAGCATGGCTAGATTTACTAGCGACCAAAGCTGGTAATTCTGGCGGTAAGAATGATGAGATTGAAAGAAAAAAGGCAGAGTTTAAACGTCTAAATAAGAGAGTAAAAGAGTTAGTTGAAAGGAAAAAGCAAGAAAGAACGGATAAGAATGATAGAAGAATATCGGATAACTTCCAGGCAAATATTAAAATGTTCTGGAAACTCGTAAGAAATACCAGGGGACATTCAAGACAGCCTAGATTGAATGCGGTACGAGACGAGAATGACTGTATTATGAATGATGAAGTGTTGAGTCTAAAGAGATGGAAGGAATATTTTGAAAGCGTATTTATGAGTGAGGAGACGTGTAAACTAAATGAAATAGAAATTCCGAAAGCAGATGAAAGAGATAGGGAGATAAGTATAGATGAAATAATGAAATAGCATTAAAGTAGGTATGGCAGCCGGATATGATAGAGTTTCACTCGAAATGCTAAGGGCTGGAGAGGACGTGGTGGCAGGCCTGCTGTGCACCTTGTTTAATTTATGTTGGGAACTAAAGCGGGTACCGGGAGACTGGTGAAAAGCCGTGATAGTCCCAATATATAAGGGAAAAGGGTCACAGCAGGACTGTAAAAACTACCGTGGTACCACTTCTTAGCATTGTGGGAAAACGTCAGTCAGTTTCACGTCAACCTTCTTACGAGGCGGACGTGTCTTTGATCCTCTTAAATATTTAATTTATTTGATTATGCAAATATCGCGACTAAACCAAGTAAAACAGTGCTGTTTGTGATCAGTATCCCTTGTAGTTATTCAGTGTCTCTAATAGTCAAAGCCAAGTGTATTGACAGTCCGCGGATGCAATAAGCGAGCGGGGTGCCCGCATTCCTCACCGCTGCGATACGAGAGGGCTTGCATAATTGACGTCTTTATCTAATTTTAACCTACAGTGTCTCGTTATTATGAAGAATTGTTCAGCGTGTACCCGCGAAGTCGGAAAAGAAGATTATTTGCAATGCGCAAAATGTAACGAAATATTTCACTTTTTATGCCTTAATATACGCCCAGAGAATATTGCGGGCTTGCTTCCAGACGCATTATTTAATTGGATTTGCCCCATGTGCATGATTAAACAACCGAAAGGTAACAATTCCGAATCGGTAGCTCGCCCCTCAACACCTACATCGTTTGCCGAAATGTCGTTTAATAACGTGTCCCGACGCAAGGCGCCTGCAAAACTTGATACTAATATCATTGTAGATAATACAAGTGATTATGTGCGTCGTTCAGAACTGCGAGAAATACTTCGCGAAGAAATAGCAACGGGGTTAAAGTCTTGCACCACGGAGTTCACAGTTGGCATTAGCACAATTAATGGACAAATAAGTAATCTTAAATGTTCTATTGAATTTATGAGTGACAAGTTCGATAAGATTTCAGACGAATTTAAAATTCAACAACAAGAAATATTGGTATTAAAAAAAGAAAACGATTCTTTGCGTTACGAGATTAACACCCTCAATAATAAATTGAACCAATTCGATCAACTTTCCCGTGCATCTTCCTTGGAGATACAGTGCGTGCCCGAAAGAAAAACGGAGAATGTTGTAGGCATAGTAAAACAGCTAGGATGCGCCATTAACCATACAATGAGTGACCATGATATTCTGTACTGTTCACGCGTCGCTAAGCTTAACCCGGCCAGCCCCAGACCACGTACAATTATAGTGAAGTTTAGTTCACCACGAATTCGAGATTCGGTGCTTTCTGCAGTCAACAGGCATAACAAAGTAAACAAGGAGAACAAGCTCAACACTCATGACCTTGGCTTCGACACAGAACAAAAGAAACCTGTCTTTGTTATTGAGAACCTCTCCTCCGAAAATAAGCAGCTGCATGCCGCAGCTCGTAAACGTGGGAAAGAGCTCAAATACAAATACACCTGGATTCGTGCTGGTCGCATTTACATGAGGAAGTCGGATACAAGCGAAGCAATTTTTATTCGTAACACTGAAACACTTGATAAGCTTAAATGACTATGTTTTATTGTTATCAGTATAATACTTCATCCATATACTCGTATATGTACTTTCGTTAAAATGTTGTATCGGTACTGTTTTTTCTTCTTTTTTAACATGGTATGTAAAAACACAACAAAGTCATATCATAATTACGTATTGTTGTGTTTGTTAGAGTGTATTGTATTATTTAGGATTGCAGACTATATGATGTTCTTATATATTAATAATAATATTCAAAGGTTTTGGACTGTTGGCAGCTCACATGTAGTTTATCACGATAAATTACAAAAAATACAATTTCGCATGCATTTGTAAGT